AGAGAGAGAGAGAGAGAGAGAGAGAGAGAGAAAGAAAGAAAGAAAGAGAGAGAGAGAGAGAGAGAGAAATAGGTCATCGACCTTTTGAGAATCGAAAGAGTAAGGAGGTCGAGGCTCGACACAATTGCGAAGCAAAGATTTTCTCATTATCACGGATTATATTAGAGTAGCAAAGACCTTGTGATATAAACTATTATATTGTTATTTTCACCTATAGCGCATATTCAAAAGTGCTTATCTACTGCTAGCGATTTTTCTGTATTTCCGAGGAAGAAAGATGAAGAGAGAGAGAGAGAGAGAATAATAATAATAATAATAAAAATAAACCAATAAACGCGGTTGTGCTATCATCGATTCGTAAAAAAAGCAACAAAAATTTCTACTACTACTACTACTATTACTATCGTTACGTATAAACTTTGCAGATTCTTCTCTCTTTGGATCTTCCCTTCTCATCTTTGTTACAAATTTAAATATAAATTACAAACGAAAAGTCGAAACGGTGGAAGAAACCCCCATCCCCACCCCTAGTTAAATATATAAACCATTACACGTAACGATCATCGCACGGTTAATGCACTTTTTCTCTTTTCCTCCTTCCATCCTTTATTTTAAAGTTACTTGAAAATAATATTGTGAAAAAAAAAACACATGAAAATCCGAGGAAAATATCATTACGCAGGAATAATTTCATGCAATAAATAAATATGATCGGAAGAGTCTAAAATCGTACACTGTTCCTCCAACGAGGAACATTCCTCCGATATATCTGAAGCAGCGCTTCCTAAAAATACAATTCGCTATTTATAACGAAATCGTTCCTCGCGACATGAGAAGATAGAAACTGGAAAATAAGAATGCTGACACAATCGGGCGAATTACTTTTCTTTTTACTTTTACATTTGTAGAATTTTCTTTTCGTAATACTTTAACGCAAGGAATGCATAGAGTCTAACTTCATTTCAGATGCGTTCAAAAGAAAATGAAGAATACACGTTAAGGATAATCATTTTAAAGAAGATGATAAATTTTCGTATACAAAATTTTACACAAATATATTCTGCACTCTTCAAGTATTATACGAGTTTTGCCTAGAAACCCATTTTTTTATATTTAACCCTTTGCCCTCCGTTGTCACTGCTGATGCGACATGAAATACAAGCTAATAGCTCCGTTGTCGCTGCTGCATCGACACGGCACGCCGGCATCTAAAGGCAACCTAGTACAGTAAAAGTGTTTTTGTGCGGTCCTTTTTTATGCGATTTTATTTTTGAACGATTTGTTTTGTGCGATTTTATTTTTGTCAAAGTTCTTTCGTGCAATTTTTTTTATGCGGTATATGAATCTCAGCGGCGTTGGCACCAGTTTAATGTATAAAAAAAAGAAAAATTAAAAAAATAAAAAAAAAATCAATTGAAATCGTATGTTCAAACGACAAAAGCGATATTGAATCAATTCGTCAAAAGAAGATGCGCGTTTTTAATTATGAGTAGCAATGAATTATTTAATGTGCATTTTGAAAACTTCTCCATATATACAATGAAAAATTAAATGTTTTTAACATTTTTCCAGGTCTAATTTACCTATTTAATAAAATTAAAATTTGAAATATTAAAATTAATTCCAAATATTAAAAAAGAGAATCGTGCGGAGGGCAAAGGGTTAAAATAATAGTTTTTTTAATTATTAAAAGGATTTATTAGTTGCTTTATTTTCAACAATCAAAAAATTAAAGTCCTAAAGTTTTTTAAGATGGTGCCGTTGTCCCGATAAATATAATAATTACATTTTAATTTGCACATCCTGTGTATAGATTGTTTAGTTCTACCCTTCTACCCTCTGAAGAAAAAAAAATTGTATATACTTTTCTGATGCAATTAATAAATCAAAAAAATTACAAAACATTAATTTTCTCAATTTTTATCTCTCTGGATTTAATTCTGCATTGATTTCTGAACGATTCATATGTATGAATGTATATTTAATGTTTTGTATAAAAATTGAAATGAAAAATGAAATCATATACGCCGACTTGTTAAATGGTATCAGTGTTCGCTTACGTGAAAGATTTTGGCTTTTACTTATTGCTGTGGTTACATAAATGTACGGTGCAACAACATTTCTGTTGCAATATTAAAAACAAAAAGAAATACACATACAAAAACTACCTCCTATTTCTTAGTAATTTGAAAAACCTTACTTATTAACTCGGTGTTAGGGTAGGAATCTCTTAACGATGAATTTACCTTCGAAAAATATCGATGTTGATTGTGAGCAGGTTTGCTGAGAACCTTAGATAAGCCAGTGGCCTCTATTAAAGCGATTACCTCGTTAAAGCATTGTCTCCATTGGCATTAGATCGGTCTTTCAAGCGGTCTCTTTCAATATACACGAACATAATCTCCTCTCTCTACGTAACGTTCGTCCAAAAATTCTACACATCTTTTCAAAAATAAAGACAAGAGAGAAAAACGAAAAAAAAAACACCATTACAAAATCATCAGTTGCTATCTTAAAAATAAAATTCTTATATCGTTATTAATTTTAAAGAAAAAAAAGAAAAAAAAAAGACTACATTATAACGAAAATTTACGATTTAAGATAAACCACAACTATTACTAGGCATACCTTTTTTTGTCTTTAACGCGTGGCAATATCGCAAATATACGTTTAATATAATTATTTCATTATAGACTTGCGAATAATAGACTGTGCAAAACGGTATACGAGTTATAAATAAATGTTTCTCATAAAAAACCGTATAAACACCTTAAAACACACACCTCACATGAAATAATCGTAAGGATCTAACGATTTATTTTAAGAATAATCCGTATATGCCGAGTATATATATACATATATATGATGGGAAATAATAACGATACGGTATTTAGTTTTAGTTAGGTTCACTTGTCGAAAGTTTTTCAAAACGTTTAACTTAAAAATCTATGCCGGAAGAGTTATTTCTGTTCTGTTAACAATTTTTCGTTAACATTTAAGAATATTCTAAACGCGTTTTTCGATTAAACGCAAAACTTGACCGACCGCTTTTCTTACTGCCAGTGGGCTTTTTTTTGCCTATTATGCTATTATATACACTGCGATACCACCACCATAACACACCTTCTTTCTCTAATCCGTTCGTTGACGTATTATAGTTTAAAAGAATCTGTCAAAATATTTCATTTATTAATTCCCCCTCCCCAAAGATAAAAAATAGAAGGAAGACGAGGGAGGAGAAAGAATAGAGAGAAGAGGAGGTAGAAAGGGTGATGATAGTGGAGTGGGAGGGGTGGATATCTTACACAGTACTTTTATTATCAATTCGTGTACGTTATCGCGTTCGAGCTTCTTATCGTAATCGCGATATCACCATGTGTGGGGCAGATTACAAAAACTGTACCCTGAGCAAAGGATGATTCCAACGCTACAAAGATAAGGAATAATTTAGCCTTTTTTTCTTTTTTCATCCTTCAACGATCTTTTTTATTTAGGAAAAAGAAGGCAGAAAAAAACCAGGTGGGGAAAAAGGAGGAGAGGATGAGAAAAGAGAAAAAATATAGGATGGGGTGGTGGGAGGGAATAGGAGAAGAAGGATACGTTGGTATCCTATCACGTTTTTCCCTTGAATAATTTTCACCGACTAATAGCAAACAGTCATATTAAATGTGACTCACTATTTGGCGCAGTCGATGAGTTGGTACTCGTTACTCCTCTCAAAACTCTGCTGAACGCCTCGATCATTCCATAGCGTTTCGACGATTTCGTAAAACTCCTGAAAATATTAAAATGTTATTATATCGTTAATGAAAGTATTCAAAACAGATAGAAATACAAAAACGTTATTTCCTCTTTGGATCGGCGAACCCAAAGAGGAGGATCTCCGAGTTTACGTGGAAAATGGCGTAGGAACTGTCGATAAACGACATTTTCGTTGAATACAATTCAAATTATAATAGCCAACGAAAAGAGGTAGCAAAGAATTTGAGATAAAAATAATTGTATATTATCACAATTTACGAGTTCTTCGAAGCACCGGTTAAACGTTCGAATTATTATTGTTGGTAGTTCAGTGAATATTTTTTGTTGTTCTTTTTTCCAATTTTCTAAATCATTATGCTACCTACATCTCTGTCTTGGGGAAAAAAAGAAAAGAAAAACAATTTTTTCGTGATGTTGTAATATCGTAATAACAGGTAAAATATAAACAAATATATATTTGTTCAAATTCTAGAATAAATCATATATATATATATATATATATATATTTATTTATTTATTTATTTATTTTTTAATCGTACCCAATTAACGAAGGAAAAAAAAGAAATGTTATCATCTATTCCACTTCTCGAAACTAACTGTTTTGCAATTCTCATTAAATTTATCGTCGAACTACGCGTTTGTATACAAGCTTATGTTAGTTAATTAGATTTCTCGTAATGAAGAATTTCGAATGAATTATCCTCTTGAATGTTAGAAGGTTTGAAGGGGCGCTAGAAGGCGGACGTTGGCACGTATTTTCAAAAAGGCTCGTTGCCAGTACCAAACTAAGCCAAGATAACTTTCTTCGTAATTGGATAATGGCAAAAAGCAGATCCTATTATCGCCAAAAAAAGAAAAACATCGAGTATCGTCAAGTTTGCATTTGTTAGATATCATTTATCGCCATTTTATCGCCTATCCATCAATTAATATTGATTGGAAAACCCTCGCAGATTAATCACTAGCGTTAACGTACAGACAGAAAAAATCTATGAGAATAAGAAAATAAATGATTAGGTTTAAATGCGTACAACAAATTCTTATACTTTGACATTTGTTTTTATCCTGCGCTTGAATGAGAATAAGGGAATCCATGGATTATATACAGTAACTTTAACATTAAATTATTATTAAATCTCTCGTTACGATACAGGATATTAAGTTAGACCTTTTTAATCAACGAGCAAATCAATTTTGCATACAATATCTATTAGAATGTTTCTGAACAAGCTGAAAATGGGAAAAAAGAATAAATTGACGAGAGAAAAAAAAATAAAAAATGAAAAAAAAAAAACATTCGTAAAATTTATCTTTATATCCAAGTAATTCGTTTATACCAGTATTGACGATTTCAATTTAAATATTTGTTGGAACTTTTTGGATGCAATATATATATGTGTAAGTACGTGCACTTATCCGTTTTATCATTTAATACAAAATATAATATTGATACCACATACCTACATTCGAAGAGTCTCCGAATATAGTCGAATCGCGTATATAACTCATTTCTTGTTTATTTCCTTAAGATTATGTAATACAATGTGTTACAAAAAAAAGTCGCTAGCTACATGACTATTTTTTTTTCCTTACAGTAGAAAATAAATGGCGTCAACTCGATTAGACATTAAAAAAGAAATAAAAAAAGACTTTATTTTACGTTAATCTTGTGTCCTGGTAGATAATGACTGACAAAAATCGTATAGAAATAAAAGAACAGAAAACGTTTTCAAAGCCGAACAAGATAAAATGATCTCGGAATAATCTATGCCGATAGATTAAAATTACTTTTTACCCGTACAGTAAAACATAAGTGTGTTCCACAATCAATTTAGAATAATCGTACGGTTAGAAAATAGGATTCTAATATTCTATTTTGTGACGTATTTTCAAAAAGTTGTGGATAGAATGAACGAACCCCGGCAGGTTTTCTTCTCATCAGTGAACGGTATATTCGAATTGCATATACAAAATAAGTGTGTTGGGGGGGGGGGTATGGTTTGGTATATGCCCCACACACACTCTCGCAAAATGAATGACGCAAAACGTGAATTATGTTACTGCGACAACTTTATTTCGAAAGAAAAAAAAATATAAATAAATCGCATCGCAAATTCAAATTTTTCTTACTTTTAAATCCAAAAAATTTATTTGAATTTTATATCCTAACTCTCCCTCTTCCCTCTTTTCCAAACCCATTTCTCCATACTCTCTCTCTCTCTCTTTTTTTTGACAAATTAACAAAATAAAAAAAAAAAAAAAGAATGAAAGGATATTTAATTTATTGCAAATCGGAAGTTTTCTTATCTTACGACTAAAAATAAATTGTTGAACAAAAAAAGAAAGAAAAAAAAAAACCTTCACAAGAATAGACCCGCATTTAAAATCATCCTAATCGATCGTCCTTCCCATAAGAACCACACATATGCGCGTTCGTCGAAAGAACGAGGAAAGAAAAAGAAAGACAAAAAAAGCGTGGAGAAAATATACTTATATGTTAATTACTCGAAAAATGAATTTTTCTTATTAGTTTTCGATCACAAAAAAAAAAGGAAAGAAAATGGTAATTATTCCGAAATTTTGTCTTCCTCGCTGATTTCAATGAGTTGTAACATATTAGCAAAATCATTATTTTTTTCATTATTATTTTGAACAACTTTAGTTTTATATTTATGATACGAGTATAGTTTAGCTCAGAGTTACTAGCCACCCATCCACCCACCAACTTTCTATAAGGTAGAAATATTTCTGACATTATATCGAAAAATTGTTTTACGATCGTTAAACTCGTATTATTGTTGGAAGAAAAAAAATCAGCTATATATCGACGACTGTGTGTATATATAATGAGAGGTGCGAGTTCTATAACGAGGAATATTTATTCTCGCGTCTCGCCACGCATGCTCTACATTTTGCGTGTGTGTGTATGCTCCGGTGTCTGGATCAACGACTATTAATCTTACGATTAACAATTTTAAATATTTATGATCAAAAATTTGTCGAAAAAGGGAGAGAAAGAGAGAGAAAGTTTTACCAAGAATTCAAAATCAATCGAAAAATTGTAAATCCAAAAAAAAAGGAAAAAAGAGGACACAGCATTATGCGTCAAGTTGGCAACTAACTTATACAACAAACATGAACACTTTTTTAGTGCACGTATTTTTTTTTAAAGAGGCGCGGTATATGCTCTTCTTGTCCTGAATACAGAATGACCAAATGGACTAAATAAATGCCCTCATAATACGTTTTCTAACATGTCCTTTTACAACTACTTAAACTAAACTAATACCACCTATAAATTAGTTTTATCAGTAGGTCTTAATGCTCTTCTCTACAAACGCAACTGTCTGAACTCACGCAACTTTAAACCAGAGATAAAATCAACGTTGCGCGATGATAATATCACTAATCAATCAATTTCGTGGTCCAAGTATATAAAATAAAATTAGTAACATACAATCATCGTTATTCTAATCTTTATTTTTATTATTGTTAATCCACGTCGAAGATATGGATACGTGAGAAAATAAAATTTTTGTAAAGCTGCATTAAGTAATATTAAAAAATGAAACACGTATATCAAATCGAATAATTATCGAAGAATTTTCACAAGATATTTTGTTAATCAATTCAAAAGTTCATAGATACGTTTTTATGTGTGTTATAAGAAAACGTAATCGACATTAGGTATATTCGTGTGTATGTGATATTCTATAAAATAAGCATACAAAACATATGTGGATACTATTTAAAGAGCATAAACATTAATCATGCCACGTAATAGATCTCAACGATTCCGTACATTCATTACTCTTCTATAGATATCGGTATATGATCGAAAATGATCGACATAGTTTATTATTATACCACGGGGGAGGCAGGCAGGCATGCATCGAATCGAGCACGTGATTTCATTTGACGATATCGAAGGAGAAGCATTATATTTTCTCCTCGTCGTCATTAACAACACTAATTGTCGATTAAATTTTTCATTAAATCACTCACCGCGGGATAATCAAAATCCGGGGAAGACGAGACGTTCAGGACATAGTCGACGTTGCACTGATTCGCAGGATCCTCTAACGTCACGGGTGGTTGTAACGTACTCATAGCACTGGTTATCGTCTGCAAAAATAAGAAACAAAATAAAAATGTTACGTTATTATTAATTTTTCCATATTCTTAATCCCTCCAAACGAGCTGGAATAAATTCAATGAAAATAGTGATATATATATATATAATAATTGTAAATATTATTTATTTCGTTTGATTGATATTATAAAACAAAAGAAAACAAATAATTGTTTTACTAATTTGAATAAATAAATAAATTAATATTATCAATAGTGACGAAAAAATTTTTTTACGATGATGAAACTCGAAACAATGTAAGTTAAAGTTACTTATTAAGTTACTCGTTAATATTAGTATTTAAACATTTGTTCTCCTAAAAAGGTAACCATTTAACTTGCAATTAATGAAAGGATAAAATAAAGAAAGAAAACGATGTGTTAAAAGATTAAAGTGTAACGATCTCAAACATAGACTTTTGCTGATGCTTCTCGTTTTTCTTCTAATTCTTTCTTTCGTTTTATGCGTACAAGCAATTAATAATAAAATAAAAACATTTAACCTAGTGAAGAAAATAAGATTCCTCGAGGCAAGAAACCTTGTGGGAAGTGCACTAAATTGAGATATTCATATTTGTCCAGTGAATTACTGCTAATATTAGCAGTGAGCCAACGTGTGGTCTTTTAACTCGTCTTCGACAAATACACTTTGAAACTGGCATATCGCCTACGTGCACGATGATCTCGCCCACGATGAACGACACACGAAACGACATGTCCGGATTTAAGGGCGTAGAGAACTTTAGGCCAAGAAATACTTCCTTCTTTTAATTTTAAACATTCAATGGAAAATAATTAAGATAAATTTTTATAAATCTTCGCATTCGTTCCATGACCTTTCCTGATCGTAAAACTTTCATTTGAGATTATCAAAACGATTCCATAAAGAAAAGAAAAGTCGAGAATTGAATATATAGTTGTTTGATTTCAAAACATTATCCGAGCGTGCCAATAATTATTATCTTATTATTATTATTACTGTAACTCTGCTATTTTGTACAATTTGTATTTAAACTTTTAATTGAATATTCTTGTGTGAAATTAATTTTTAGAGAAAATATAAGAAAAGTATGGTTGTTATCATGTCGTTTTTGTCAGATATATGTAATAAAATTAATTACAAATTTTTAATATTTTTTTTATAAGCTCTTTCTGGATGAGTAAAAACACTGTTAATATTATATTAATGAGCATATAATGTATACATATTTATGTATAAACATGTATATTCGTTTAATATTCGAAAGTGGAAATAAAGTTATATTTGTTTAGACGTATCTAAAATACGGAAGCAAATGACAATTTAATGGTCAAATATTGTGTATTCATTCGTGGATCTCGCAATACGCAATTTTAATAAAAGATTAGTCAAAAGTTCCTCACACCGATTTCAAATCAATTATTTCTTTTTTACACATCTTTTAGGGTAATTCTCTCTTGAAATTATAAAACTGCAAATTCAAGAACTTGTGGTCTACCTCAAATAACTAATTATAATTAACAGATACATTCCTTCTCTTTTTATCAACCGTGCTCCGAAAAATTTAATGTTTATTGCAAGAAGAATTTGAAGAAAAAAAGAGAAAAAGAAAAGAAAAAGTACCTGTTGCTTCGAATGGTCCATTAAAATAATGCTACAAATGGATCATTTTCAACTCAAAAGAATTGGTGTAAGCGATGTTAGTTATTGAAAACCTCAATTTGTGCAATATGTTTATATTAGTTAAAATGTATAGATTATTTCGTTAATGAATGACGTTTGCAAATGAATACAAAATTAATTCTCGTCAAGGTTCAACAAAATTAGATTATGAGACACGAAGATATACATACGAAGAAAACTAACAATAAATCTTACCAATATCGCATCTCTGATGTTCTTTTTAATGTCCTCGATTTTCTGGCGTTTCTCTCTGAAAAAATAAAAATATAAATGGATTATGAAGTAATCAAATCAAAATCGATTTACCAAGTACGATATCGGAAAAAAACATCCGAATTAAGTATTAACCTATCATCATTAGATATTATATCGTCATTACGATATATATAAATTGATCATGCGCGTTCTTGGAAAAAGTATATACGTAGATATAGTGCGTCGAAAGAGAGAATAGGAATGGGACATGAATGGTCATAGAAGGGAGGGGGAGACCGCACGAGGTACACTTGCTCCGCCTATTCCCACTTTGGACGCTTTCCAAGTCCATGGAGTAGAATCTTTTTAACATAGTCGTATGATTGAAAATTTACGATGGACAACGCATTTATGTTTCGTGGTCAAGAGTAGTTAAAAAAAGAAAAAAGAAAAAAGAAAAAAAAACAAAAACACGTTAACATCAGCAGTGTATTAACTTTCTACTTACTATATTCCTTATCTTTGTGTTTTACGTATTAAATAAGTAGCCGATGTGATCCTTTCTAGCCAATAAGAAAAATACGACCGATATAAGGTTACATCTAGTAAGAATAGGAAGAGGAGGGAGGAGGAGGGCAACAAGCGGTTGGCCCTTTCAACCAATCATGCCAATATCCTTAGCAGACACATTCTCTGCTTGGTCGCCCTCCTCTCCTGTAGATGTTTTCTGTTTATGGGAAAAAGTCCCTTGCCTTATAAGCAAATCCCCTGTTGATCTCATTGGCTAGAACGGTCGACTGCTTGCTTGCTTGCTTGCTTGCTTGCTTGCTTGCTTGCTTGCTTGCTTGCTTGCTTGCCTGCCTGCCTACTCTACTCTTTTTGCTTTACATAACTCTACACCAACATGTATTTTCTTTACAGGTGGACTGCTAATTCGAAGCGTTAAAAATAAAGAGAAGGAACGAAAAACGTCGAAATAGAGTAAAATAAAGCGTTTCGGTTATTTTGGCGCGTTGACATGACGCTTTTTCTTTCTTTTTCTTTTTTGATCTACTTTCGATTATAAATGAAACATAAATGTGTGTCCATTGGTAATTATCAATCATACGACAACGACTATGTTTAGTGATCCCAGATTTAGTTCGTCTGATCGACACAAGGGCGTAAAATTATCGTACGCCCCGGGAAAAATTTGAATTACTACCATTTGTCGGATGATCGGAAGAGAGTGGAAGTTCCACGGTTATTTTTTTTTAGTCTTCCAGTTCAAAACCCTATCGTGAAAACGGCAGGGAGAAAGACTTGTTCGTATGGAGATCGTACACAGATCGTACACAGATCGTGGTGGTGGTTCTCGAAATTTCGATTCACTATCGGAAAATAGTACCCGGAAAAAAGAAAGATCGTCAAGTTATCGTACGAATGGGATCACTGACTATATTACAAAAATTCTACTCTGAGGATTTGAAGAGCGCTACAAGTGGGGATGATAAAAGGGAGGGAATCTCTTTTTTCTTGCTCTTGTGTTCCCTCGGGGAGACTTGTCCTCACAAACAAATAGTAATGTATAAATAATAACGACAATTGCGATCTAATACAACGATCCTCCCGCTTTGCTTTGCTTTGCTTGTTACTTATTGTTGTTATGGATACAAGCCCTAATGAAATTTTAATATAAAACACTTTTCTCTTTCTCTCTTTTAAAGTTTTTTTCTTTTTTTTATAAAATTGTTTCACCGTTCTACTGCTATAATTATATTATTTCCTTTGTTCGATCACGGTTACTTTCTTACGCATCTAATTGATTAACGACGTTTAGCAAAATTGTTTATAATCTAACTTTTCGGCTTGGCTACTAATAAAATTGGTATACGTATGTGAATTGTTGTTCGCTATAAGAAATCATAAGATAAAAGAAAATATTAACAAATCAATAAAATTCCTCAAAACAAACGAAACTTTAGTGTTGATGTATATTATACAAGAATCAAATTTTGTCCGAAATAAAGCGTTAATAAATACATGTATAATTTTTCATTTGGAAATAAAATGTGTATATAAGAATTATATAATCGCCACTGTGCAATCAATTTATACGTAAATATATATATATACGTAATATACGTAATAAATATATGTAATATTGTACAATTTCCGTTGAAGAACTCTTCGCAACGGAAAATGGTTATTCGAACAAATTTTGTTTATGATTCATGCAAATGATAATAAAGTTATAATTTCTACGGTAATCGATCGTGTAAAGTATGAAGTTCCTAAAAAAGAAGGAAATAAAAGAAAAGAAAAGAAAAAAGGAAGAATAAAAAAAAAGAAAAAAAAAGCGATGAGGCGCCTTTCAGATAGAACGTTATCAGTTCCTCGAGTCAGACAGAATTTACGACGGGCACGAAGTGGCCCGTTTGTTTGCACGTCGTTTTCATCCTATCTAGTTGCTCTTGATTTTTACGTACGACCATACGTATATATATATATATACATACGTGTAATAAGAATCATTAGCGATAACGGTATACGCTGTTTCTTCTTTCTTCGACCTCGCATGTTTATTTTTACTTTGCTATTCCAAAACGGACGTCAGTTGTTGTTTGACATCTTGTCGAAAGGAAATGTGAAATACTATTTGTTCTCTTCTTTTTCTTTGCTATATATCAAAATGGCCACAAAAGGGAGGAGGAAGAGAGGAAGAGAGAGAGAGAGAGAGAGAGAAACATAAAGGATTAACGATTCAAACTTGACCACGTGTTGATATTACGTTGATTGACAGTTCGAACTGCTTGTCATAATGATTCATTCCATACAAGTGCGTATTAAATGAAAAGAAAAGTGGAGACCAAAATAATAGGAAATAAAAAAAGAAGAAAATTAGTTAATCGAAAAAAACAATTTGTTTTCGTTAGGTTACATGTGTAAGATCGCCTTGAAAGAATGATCATTCGCTGTCTCTCGATCATTGACATAAAATCTGAAAAAACTTACGCTTCGCTGAAGCCGTTGACATGCAATATCCTCATCTGTTTGACGATCGTACTTTTTCCAGATTCTCCCGCTCCTGAAAAGAGGCAACATTATCGAAATTTATCCAAAAAGAAAAAAGAAAGAAAGAAAAAGAAAAAGCAAATAATTTTATAAAATTTATATGCTAAATACTTTTTTTGATTGATTTGTGAAAATTATGAATGTACTATACATTTGCAAATGAAATTATTCAACAAGAATTAACAGCAGTAGGGGAGGAAGGGGGGAGTTTTAGATCAACACCAGTCTTTTTCCCCCCTTCCCCCACTTTGGTACAGCATCAATAGTAATTATATACACACGCTAGAGAAAACGATGCGATAACAGCTGTTGCTTTTCAGCCTTAGGCGATATACGGATACGCAACTTATGTTAAATTAAAGTAACGACCTACATAAGTAAAGAATAGGAAGGTAACGCTGAGTTGCTGGCTGGTCTTAAATATCGCGATAAGTAGACACATTCGGGGGAGTGTTTACACGCGTGCGCTTTTATGTTTCCGCACTTTTTTACTTTTTTTTTACTATACGTACTATACATAATATATATATATATATTACCTGAAAAAGAAAGCAAAGGACTCGAGCGAAAGTAACGAATGGATATATAAAAAGTGAAAGTGGTAGTTAGAAGAGGAAGAAAGTGAGAAAGATAGAAAGAAGGACATAAAAATGAGCGAAAGCATAATAAGAGAGGTAGAGGTAGAGGTAGAGGTAGAGGTAGAGGTAGAGGTAGAGGTAGAGGTAGAGGTAGAGGTAGAGGTAGAGGTAGAGGTAGAGGTAGAGG